CAAACCTCCCGCCCCGCGCTTTCCCGCCCCTGCCTGGACTGGGACGGCTGCAAATGCCCCGCTGGCAGCAAGCGGACGTCCTCCACCTTCGTTTCCCGTTCAAGGTGTTGGGTCATAATCTGGGCTTGGAGGCAGACCGATGCCTGGCTCCTCTGCTGGTTGCTGCTCCCGCCTCTCCCGCTGGTGCCTGGGGCTTTTGCATCTGCCTCGGGTGTGGGTTTGGGACACCTTGGGGGAGTTTCCGAAGGAGGAGGAGGGTCAGCCCTTGGGAGCAGCCGACAGGCAGGACGCATGGTGACCCTGGTCACACTTGTTGCCCATTGCGTGGTGGGACAGGCAGTGGTGCTGAAAAAAAGCTCGTTTCTCTTGCTATGGAGTCAGCTGCGGCCCGGAGCGTGGAAGGCATACCTGCGGGAGACTGGGAGACTGGGATTAAGAGGAGACTGTGATGTGCTGGAGGTAGAGGAGGGAGGTAGTGATGGTGAGGACAGTGTGTGCAAGGGACGACTCTTTGATTCCTTGTTCTGAGGAGCATCTCTGCCTGATCATACATCAGACGACGTGGAGATGGAAACAGAGAGAAAAGGCTGTTTTTTATTTTGATATTTTACCAGTTGCTGTCCATTCTGTCTGCCAAATGTGCATACACACACACACACACACACACACATATACATTTCTTCTAATTAAAAAAATAAGGGAATAGCTTAAAAGAATTAAACTTCATCAGGAAATGTATTAGCTTAATACACACAAATACACACAGTCTTTTAAAAACATATCTGTCCCTTTTCCCCCAAAGCCTATAATTATAATGTGTTAGTGTGGCATTGGGATTTAGGATTGGGATTTGGATGCATCAAGGTGAACAGTCTTGGTGTTTTCCACTTCTACAGACTAGAAACCATTTGTGAAAAACCAGAAATATGAGAGCACAGAGAATTGGAAAGGAAAGGCTTGGAAAGCTTCCTTCAGAGAGAGAATGTGGATTTCCCGTTCTTTTTATTCTGAAGATGGATTAATTTTAGATTATGACCTTTATTTTTCACCCAAGACACACTAAGAAGCGTGGCGGTGGGGTGGCGTAGCTAACCAGCAGATGACAGTGATATCAGCTGTTATCAGCATGTCTATTAAAAAAAGTTTTTCTAATTAAAACAGTGAAACACATACCCAGTGCTAATTCTGAGCAAAGTTGCTGTTATAACTATGACATGACAAAGGTGTCTACTGGTTTGTGGCTTTATTCTGAGCAGGTGACTGTATCAGGAGGGAAACGGGTACATACCTGTACCCAGCAGGTTCAACCACTGGAAATTGCTGAAAGGAGCAATTCAGTCTGTATGTGGAATCTCCACTTAGAGCCCTGGGTACAATTACTTCCTTGGTGCTCTGACTTCATCTCTTCAAAGTCAGAGCCATTCAGGGTTTTTGCTGGTTTGAGGAGCCCTCTGTTATCGGCTACCATTGTACAACACTACTTAGGTCTAGGGCTTCAAATAGCTTTGTTTGCAAAGCTTCTTTGTGATGGGCAACTGATGATTTGTTTTCTGAACTCAAACTGTGGTAGTCCTACATTGAACTCACAGTGGTAGTCAGGAGGGCAGGGTTTCTAACCCTGTGAAAACTGACACTTTCCGTTCTCTTTTTATCCTCGAGTAATTTCAGGTTCCTGTAAGGTATTTGGGTGCAATTCCATAGGAATTTCTCAGATATTTACCTAAAAGTGTCTTTTAGGTTAGGTTATTACTATATCAAACCTCTATTATATATACCAGAGTAATTTTACTTATATCTATAACAATTGTGGACTCTAAATTCATTGTTCTGGTTGAGTTGGTGGTTTTTTTTAAAGTCCCCCTGGTTTGGGGTTTTTTTTTTTTTTTTTTTTTTCTGGCTATTCTGTTAACCTTTTTGTTTCGGTGTTGCCTTTCCAATCATTCTGTAGTAGATGGCTTATTTTCCCCTTAGCAAGTTGAAGTCTAGTATCTTTGTGTTTTCTAAAAAGAAATCCATTAATGATATTTTTGAACAGTTGAGATAAATAATAAATGGATTTACAGTCACCTCAGAGTATATGGGAATTTGTAAGAGAACACATAAATCCACTCTAATGGAGCAATTAGTTTTGTACAGAGCATGGAGGGTCTGAGGTGTGAGAGAAGGTTTTACTTTTTTTTCTTGATAATGTTCACTGTTGAAATGGAAGGAACTTGTCATGTCTTGGCTGCACCTAGGATGGTGCCAGAAAAGGTAGCAATACTTTTGTTTTCTCAAGATGCCAGAGATTGTATAACAAGATAGAATGTTTAATCATGAGCCGCTTTAGAGGGTAGGCAAAGAGAAATGATTGGGCAATTGAGTGGTTTACTTACCATAATGTTTTACCAGAAAATGACTAATGTTTTACTTTGAGCAGCAATGTTTGGATCCCAAATTCGCTTATAATGCAATCCCTTTATTACAATGAAATTTTCCCTACAAATAAAGAATATTCCTTATGTTGGTTGCTTGTGGTATAGAGGGTTAAGTTCTTGAGAACAGGAATCATCCATGAACCTTCTTCATGAGTATTCCTGAGTTAGTACTATCAACTCTTAGGAGTTCAGTCTTTGTTGAGCAGCACGGCGAATAGATGTAAAATTACAAATTAATTGGGAAGACCTCAGGCATTCTTCTATTATTATTATTTTTTAAGTTTCTTGGTCCACCTCCTGTTCTCTTCCTCCCATCTGGAACCCCAATAGCAGCAGAGAGCTGAGACCCAGCCCCTTTTCCTTGAACCTATGTATGCGGTCCTGGAAGCGATCTAGTGGGAGCCGGCTGGTTGGTTCCAGACCGTCCACCAGGAGAGCAGTGGAGTTCGGTCCGCCTTTGCTCAGCCCCCAAAGAAAGCCAGCCGTTACTCGACTCTTCTCCAACCTAACATTCATTCTCTGTTGTTGTCAGTGGCGGCACCTGACTTGCTGGATCCTAAATCTGCCGCTCAGAACTCCAAACCGAGGCTCTCGTTTTCCACGAAACCCACAGTGCTCGCTTCCCGGGTGGAGAGTGACACGACCATTAATGTTATGAAATGGAAGACGGTCTCCACGATTTTCCTGGTGGTGGTTCTCTATCTGATCATCGGAGCCACCGTGTTCAAAGCCTTGGAGCAGCCTCATGAGATTTCCCAGAGGACCACCATTGTGATCCAGAAGCAAACATTCATTTCCCAACACTCCTGTGTCAATTCGACTGAGCTGGACGAACTCATCCAGGTAATAATGGCACAGAGGAGTTGTTACCCTGCTTCCTCTCTGGGGAAAGAAAGTAATGGCAGGAAGAGGCTACCTGTAGCACAGTGGCCTGCCTGTGGGGGCCCAGTTCCACTTTCTCTTTAGCATCGACTCGTCTCCTTTCTGTACTTCTTCCCTCTTTTCTTTCTTTTTCTCTCTTTTCTTCTCCTTCTCCTTCGTTTCTCTCTCCTTCTGTTCCTTCTTACCCTCTTCTGCTCCTTCTGTCCCATTGTCTCCCTGATTTGTCTTTTTTTGCCCTCTCAGAACTGCCAGTGGACACCCATGGACATGGGGTTGCCTTGCCGGAGGCTTTTGTGGTCAGATTACCATAGCCGACTGAGAAACATTGCTGTGGCAAGTGAGGGGAAGATCTAAGGCAGAAAAGTGCTTTAATCATGCCAGGGGCCATCATAAGATAGAAGAGATGAGTTTGTGGTGTGACCCTCTTGAGATGGGTGCCCCTGCTGGTTAACAAGTTGTAGCTTACCTCTTTAACCTAGTCAGAGTATAACTCTGTTAACTGCCTTTTAGGCTCCTAGAGAAATGATGCATCCTTGCTTCTCTAAACACTAACTAAAAGCAATTTACTATTACACAGAAAAATGCAGTTTTTGAATCTTAAAAAATAATTTCCTTTTCTTGTACTCTATCATGGCGGAATGGTGTTCTTAAGGAAAGTACTTTGTTATAAAAGTTAATCACAAAATGATTTAAACGTTTCAGTTAGGCTCCTTGGAGAGGGCTGTATTTTTATTGTAGATTTCTTTTACATAAAACAATTCAGTGGTCAAACCAAGAGTCTGGTCAGAAGGAAGCCCTAGAATAGTCTTTCCAGGAGAGATCTATCTGACTGGTTGTGGGAAATGTTTTAATTGTATAGATCCTCCTTTTCCTGTAGAACCTACTTTTCTTAACTGGTGTTAAGTTGAATTGGACTGAAAATGATCTGAGTCATCTGAACATGTTCTTCCTCATCTTATATTTGGTTTGACATCATTTGAATGAGTTGGAATAGTAGATTGAGGGAGGCAATTCTTACCGGTTTTAATCCAGTCTCCTATTCAAAGACCTTTTCTCTCTCATTTCCCTTTTGCCATGGATACCCCACAGGCTACGTAGCCTCTGCCCTTCATGCCTCTATTTGTAGACTACACCTACAAGTTCTCATTCAAGTTTTACTGAAAGCTGTCAAACATAGTAATCGCTCACCCTCATTTAGCTCCTACTATATTCAGACACTTCTGCGTCTCAACTATTTGACTTACATTTTGAAAATACTCCTCAGATACTTATATCCTGAATTCTCTATTATTTTTAGATGATGGCAATATTTTCAGTATTGACAGTGAACATGCCAGCAGATGTCGTTGTCCCAGCTACCGCATTGCCTGTTCCTACACAAGATCACTTTCACTTCACTCTTGTCTTTGTGCCACAGAGTTCTAAGAGGTACTAAAAAATCTTAAGCAATTCCCATTTCCCTAGGGTTTTAAAAGAAGAGCTCTAGGTTGTCTAGGAGGTAGCATCAGATAGGATGTGTTTTAAACTCCCGTTGAGCACTTTTCTAGAGGTGTCATCCTGAACAAGTACCTTGGCTCTCTAAGCCTTCAGTGATATCTCTGGAATGCAGAAAGAATATCTACCAAACAGGGTTGCTGTGAAGAGTAAAGAGATAATCCCTATAAAGCAGTTAGGATGTCGCAGAGTTTGTTTGCTGTTGTTCGTATTCGCGCCCTTCCCCCCCACCCCCACCCCATCCCTTTATTGGGCTGAAGTATCTGATTCAGGCAGTTCCATTCTTTGCATCTGAAGCAGTGTGGTGGGTTTGGGGCAGGGGGGAAAATGCCTGGAATTTCAGGACAATGCTGGAGGAAACCCGGTGTGAATTTGAAAATGGTCTCACTGTTCTGTACTACCTTGATTTATTCATAACTGTGAAAATAACTTGAAGGTCATGGCAGGTAGAGACAATCTGGAGGTGGAGACTGATCATTTTTGCTCTATTGTTTTTGGAATGGATACAGACAGAGCTCAGCAATGACCTAATCTTTTTCTTTCCACCCCACAGAGGAATCTCTTTTAGCTGTATTAATATTCAGCGCTGATGAGAATCTTTGCTTTTTAAAAATCTCAAGTATTTTTGTGCTTATTCAGAAGTCTGTTATTTTCATATCACTCATCTTTAGAACCCCATGGCTTTAATAAATTATTTTATTCTCTTTGAATGAAGTTTCTTCTGATAAAAGTTTATAATGGCATGGCTTCAAGGATCAAGATCAGTATTTAAATAGGGAGGAAGGCAAATGAGCCAGTAATCTTATATTAGAATTACATTTCATTCATGTGATTCTTGTAAATTTCCACGTGTTCTTCCCACATTTATTTGCCCATTTAATCATCCCTTAAAACTTCATGAGTAGGTATATTAGGCAGTAATATCACAGCATTAAGGATTAGGGAGCTGACACCCAGCAGTCCCAGTGACTTACGCCAGACAGCATTATGAGGATGAGAGTTCAGGTGTTCAGAACCTTGATCTGCTATTATTCCCAGGAGTCTTGGCTGGGTTTAGCATTTTTCAGTGCTAAGAGGGGAGTTAGAAGTTCAGTCCTAGTGTTGGTGGAGGACTTCTGGATTCCTTTTATGAAGAGCAGGGAAGGAGGAAGAAATGTGTAGTCAGACTGTAAGGTCGGGTACAGTTAATCTAATTTGGCCTCAGGCCCCAGGTTATTAATTACACCTCTGGATGGGTTATGGTAACCTCATAACAAGCTGTGCTTGCATCACAGGGTGGGGTAGGCGAGGGAGGGGAGAGAAGAGAACAGAGCTTTGAGGCTCCTGGGAGCAGTTGCTTCTTGTACTACATGGTCCCAGCTGTTCTTTCCCTGAGTGCTGTCTTGACATCGGCCGTCCAAGGCAAGATAGAGGATTGAGGAGGGGGCAGAGCTATCAAGACAAAGGAACCTAAATGGCTAAAGTATTTTGAACACTTTGATTTTCAACATCCATTATATTTAAGGTAGTGTGATGTCAGTACAGAAAAACATGGTAACACTGAAATTTCAAAAGTCGTGAATACCATTAACCATAGTCAACATTTAATGAGCACTGACTATGTACAAGGCACTGTTCTAAGCTTTTACGTGTATTGTCTCATTTAATTCTCAAGTAACCATAGGAGATAAGTGCCTTATTAACTGCATTTAAGTTAGGTGCAGACTGAGGCAGAAGGAGCTTAATTTTCCAAGAGAACAAAGTGCTAGAGTGCACTGTTATTTAAACCTAAGTGGACAGACTCCAAAGCTTAGGCTCTTAGCTCCTGTGTTACTGCCTCTAAAAACATTAATAAACATGAAGTTTGCTGTAAAGCTTCCTGTTATTCCATGTATTAGAGTGGAATAAATATCAAATTACAGTCCTCTGTACATAGTGATGTATATTATATGACCTATCTCTTCCTCCATATAAGAATGGGGAGTATATAACCTGAGGTGGGTTTTTTTTTT